ATCTGTACTATTAATGTGTTAAATATTAGTATTAGTTTTCATTTACATTTTCTCATATACTTTGAGAAGGAATGTCTGGTGGGGGTTTGATTTGGTCCCCTCACCTATTCTACTTTCTTTTTTATCTCGAAATTAGCTAGAAAAATCATAGTCATATTTTTCGTTTCCTCTAAAGTTATTAGTTTTTCATAAGGAAAACTACCTAAAGCATGCATGTATGAAGTAAATGGTTGGGTTTTCGTGTGAACTATGTTGTTCAAATGAGTTATGCAATTGCATATCTTGTGAGGGCCACAAGAGCCCCTCTACTCCCAAAGTTGATTCCTTTGTGCACTTCAATGAAAAGGGTATTCTATTGTTGGATGTTACCTGACTTTCTCTATGTATTTGGTGCTCACCTAGGTTAGTTTGAGTTTTAAATGAATTCCCTGAATTTTAGTTACTAATATGTTTTGAATGACTATATGAATAATCTAGCTGATTGAACCTAGGCAAGATGTGTTTGTCATGAAGGGAGAGTATGCAAGGTATATTTCAGATTTTCTTGAATCAGTGAATCTGCCATTACTATGTCTTGCGTTTTAAAACTATGCTAAATATGAATGAGTCAAGCATTTCTTCCTTTGGAAAGGAAAATCTAAAAGTCTTATTATAAGATTTTGGGTACTATATTCTTGATTTTGCTAATGTATATGCAAAAGTTATGCCATTTTAGATTAGGCCCTTCTGCATCATCTTTGAACAATCTTATGAACAATCTTTATATGCTAAAAGATTGTTCTTTTTATGCTGGAACATTATAGGGCACTTAGTGAAAGAATAGCTAAACACAATGAATGACTTGACACTCTTTAGGAGCAGCCTGCAAATCCCATTCAGGTGAGAGACTGGAAGATCATAGGAGATTTTAGGCTCTTCATCAATTCTTTAAATGTGGTGGGGAATGAAAATTAGCACCAACATAAATGACAACTTTCATATTAACTTTAGGCTCTATGGTTCTAATACTACAACTTTGAAAAGGAAAACTGCGTGTAGTATCCTATACCATCGTAAGAATGACTTTTGCTATGACGGATTGAATTAATGATTAGTGCTTTCTCATCTAAGAACTTTAAGTGCTTTTCTCAAATAGTGGCATTCTTGGACTTTTCCATTAAGCACGAAGAGTGTTTTATTATTATTTCATTTATTTCATTTCTTTGTCAAAAAGATTCTTTAATTTGACAAATGCTTCTTTTAAATCAAAAGTATTTCTATTTACATTAAAAGCACTTCTCATAATACTAAATACTCTCTAATCATATCTTCCATCTTCAGGACTTCACTGGATGGGAGTTTAGGTTTGCTGGATGCTTCCCTTGATATGAAATCTCTCATATTGGGGGAAGCACCATTATCTATTGTAAGTTCTTACTTTGATAGTGCAGGTATCATTTTAATGTGAATATTGGGAAAGTACCATTATAGCACTATGTATTATACTTTCTGACTCTGGAAATGGGGGTATCCTTTAAATTGTTGGATGCTTTGTTGGGATAGGGGAAAGAAAGTAATTTTCCAAGATATGCAGGCAATGAGCTGCCTACATGTAGAGGGGGAGGACTTCCAATGGCTGCATCTGTCAAGATCCAAGGGCATTAAATATCCAGAGTAGTAGTTCTATTTAGAGGTAGATTAGAAGTTGTTATGAAGTTTAAGAGTAAAACAGAACAGACCAAATATGCCTAAAGAAGCCTTGTAAAGAAAATAAAGACATCTATAGGCTAAATAGACCTCAAAGTTCAAGGTATCTTGAAGCCCTTTGATCAAGTTTCTTTAAGCCATGTTGTGTGGTACTTTTCCTTCAGTATGAAATCTCAAAGTATTTGTGTTTCAGATACTTCTGTGAAGTGTGAACTACTGCATTTATTTTAGTAATAACAAAATAATGTTGTTACATAGATGGATATTTTTCTTTGATTCAATTTTCACCTATTTTTACCAATTTTTTTCATGCTTCTCAACTAAACAAAACATGACATTTGAATTTCATCGTTTTAAAATTTTTCATTTGGTGCATGTGAGGCTGTCAGGTTTAAAATTTATCATGCTTCGTAATTTTAAAATTTTATAATGATCATTTTAAAATCAAATCCGAAGTATTACAACTGTGGATATGGTTATAAGTTAACAAAAACCCTCTTTGAGGCCGTTTGGTAGCACGAAAATCGGCTGTTTTGGCTGATTCTGCTGAAATTTATGAAATTCTGGGTGAAGTGGCTGCATTGACTGATTCTGATGATTTAAGAAAAAATATTTTTAAAATATATTGTGTTAATAAAATAAAAATAAAAATTTATATGTAAAAATAGATAAAATGGTCATCTACAGTAACTCCAGCCAATACAGCCAGAAAAGTAACTCCAACCTTATGTTTTCTACTTGTTACACAATTCAGCGCGCGAAAGCAAAAATTACGTGTTTGGTAAAAAAGTTGGCTGATAATCCAAAAAGCAGTGTTGCCAAACGGCCTCAAAATGTATAGATGAGTTAGATAAAAAATGTGTGCTTATTTTTTACTTCACCTCTTAGTGAGTTCATATGCATGGCAGTATGGCACAATTCAAAACTTTATAGTGTGTAATTTTTCTGTGGACTTAATTAAACAAAAAGAAGAGTTTGTTGAGGTTTGTATCTCCATTATAAAGTAACTTTATCATTTCTATCATCTCTATTTGCATGGATCCCTACGCAATTGTGGACACATAGCTTCAGTTTTCTTAAACGGGAATGCATTAATTGAATGTCTTTTGAGGATCATTATCCATTACTAATATCATTAATAAAACATGTTATCATTGTTTATATTTTTATATCATAACTTTAACGCTTAAGTTACAAAATATGATTCTTTTTTGCCTCTTTGAAATGTCCGTAGGAGTTTGCTTAATGGATGTTTTCTTATAATAGGTATGACTTTAATTCTTTAAATGGTTAAGTGATATGTTTATAGGGTAATGGATGCTATGGAGTATTAAATAGTTCAAATAAGTTACCGGACTAAACCGGGTCAGCATCGGGCTTCAATTATTTAGAACCGGGACCTATCCTGCCTGGTCCGACCTGTCTCCATGCCTACATATGACTGGGAAAAGGATCGCATTGGGCATTTGTCTAATCGCGCAACGCGCGTGTAAAAAACTAGTTATATATTATACACAGTAGTGGAGTATGAATTTAGCTGCAACCCATATTCACATATATGATAGTATACAACTATTATACTATAATATGTTAGTGGGGCCCTGTTCTATTTAACCTAATTAACTTGCTAAAAAACGGCCCTGCTTACCACGTTGAATATGGGGCCCTACTTACCACGTTGAACATGGGGCCCCATGGAAATTGGGGCAATGTTGCTCCTGCTACTAGAAAGAAAAGAAAAAATAACTGAAGAGTTCTGAGAAAACAAAGGAAAATAAGTAAAACAATATCCAATTTTTCTAGCCACGAGCAAGAAGCGGTTTGATCAGCCTACGCCAAAGGACGCACTTTCACATCACAAAGATTCCCGATCTTTGGCGATGCTCTCCAGACAGCACCGCCACCTATGTTTTTTTGGATCCGCACCATCAATGTTCATATTTGCTTGTAAACCATCCTCGCTAACCAGTTTAATGACCCTGTGTTTCTTTGGTTCTTCCGGGATAATATTATATGAAAAATAGTTAAACTTATCATTTGCAACAACTTCGACCAATTCATCTAGACTAGACACCCCACTCTTATTTATTTTGATTATTATACAATTTAACACGTGAATTTAAAAACTACCAGCTCATATGGTAACTTTTATCTTCAGCTTATTGACCCTGTCAGTCAACCGTATTTACCAAATATGAAACATTTGATTTAGTGCGCTAAATTGTATAATAATCAAAATAAGTAAGGTTGAAGTTACGTTTTTGCCCGAATTGGTTGAAGTTGCTTACTTATTGTAAAGGTCATTTTAGCTATATTATGCAAAAACTATATTTTATCAATAAAGAATCTTTCAGATTTTCATAATTCAGTATATTTAACTAATTCATCATTTCAGCCAGAACTTCATAAATTTCAACAAATTCAGTCGATCTAGTCTTATCGCATGGGCGCTACATGTTTAATAGAAAAATTGATTGATGAGGTGAAAATAAAGGTTACCAACCTCACTCAAACTCTGATAAAAGATTGTAGTGATATACATTTGAAGTATTAAAATAGTGCTAATTTGATCACTAGCACTTTATCTAAGAGGTGTTTTAAAATGTCAAGATAAAATACTAGTTGGAGCGTTGAGAACCCCTATCGAGAGTTTCTGATTACGGTGCGCCTGGCGTTCAATCCTTCTTGGTAGGGGTATGACTAAATGAACAATTTTTGTTTTCTGATTGTGTTTGTTTTGTGCTATGACAATTTTTTCTAGGGCACTAGCGCCCCGCGTTGTTTTGTCTCCCTCGGTGTGGGGAGTTGTTTTGGTGTCTAGACCAACTTTGTCTGCTCAGGGGTTTCTATCCGTGTTCTTTTAGACTGTGTGTCAGGAACAGTTTGGCGGAAATGCTTTATTTCAATTTTATTTTTCCTTTGATAGTACATATCTTTATTTTACTTCGAATAAGTTTGATTTGGTTATTTTGATTTCTGGAGTACTTTTGATAGACAGTATTTCAATTGTGATCGTTTTACCCTTAAGTTTGCCCGTTTTGCATCTAGAGAATCGGATTGCTTTGTATGAGGTGACTCATTTCATGTCTATTCCTAAAGTTTAGTAGTACTTGTCTCAAGATTGTCTATTTCTTGATATTAATATAAAAAGTCTTCTTTTATAGGTAGTATTAAAAAAATGTCAAGATAAATTTTGTCTTTTATTCTTGGACAAGGCAGTAAACTAGTCAAATTTTGATGATTCACCCTCTATATCCTCAGCCATTTCACCTTAAATTATTATCTATAAATAGGTCTGTCAAAGACGTTCTTCTACCACCACACCATTTAGTCACCCTTCCATTTCCTTAAAGCACACAAATTCCAAAAACAGAGCACATACATAAGGAAGCACCGGAGAAATAGATACTAGGAATCTAGGATGTCCTCTTCCTTCTCGCCGGAATCTTCATGGTCGGACTCCCAACCCCAAACCTCCGAGGTTTCCCTCCCTTTCAACCTTAACGACTCCGAAGAAATGTTACTCTTCGGAGTCCTAGCAGAGCAGGCTTCAGCTGATCAAGAAAACTATGGGGCCAGTTCGCCGGGAATTTCGACGGAGGCGCCGGAGCGGTCGTACCGCGGGGTCAGGCGGCGGCCGTGGGGGAAGTTCGCGGCGGAGATAAGGGACTCCACCCGGAACGGGATTCGGGTCTGGCTGGGAACGTTCGACAGCGCAGAGGAGGCTGCTCTGGCGTATGACCAGGCGGCTTTCGCAATGCGTGGACCGGCGGCGACGTTGAACTTTCCGGTGGAGAGGGTCCGGGAATCTCTGGCGGAGTTGAGTTGTCAGATGGAGGAGGGGGGCTCTCCTGTGGTGGCGCTCAAGAGGAAACACTCCATGAGGAAGAGGAGGAAGGGCAGTAAAGCAGGGGAGGTCAAGGATGAGAATATGGTGGTCTTTGAAGATTTGGGGGCTGATTATTTGGAGCAACTTTTGGTTACATCATCTGAGATTGTACCACCCAATCCATGGTGAATATTAGTGACAAGGAAAACTAGTACTGGAAACTACTACTCGTTTTTATTTGGCTGATTATCATTTTTGGTGAACTTTTTGTAAATTACAATCATATACTCCTCTTTGTAAAAGAATTTGTCAATTGTTTTTGTGTGCCCAAAAGCAATGATTTTTTTTTATCAACAAAGTTATCATCAAATACTTGTACGAAATTTTTTATTTTATTTCATGCGCTTAATTGTTAAAGTCAAAATTACTTTTCTGGTATCTGGTGAAGTTATCTTAGAAGATCATTTTAGCTACTTTCATATAATTTTTTCTTTATTTTTATTAATAAAATACATTTTAAATATTTTTTGCATAAATCAGAAGAATAAGTCAATCATACACTTCAACCAGAACTTTATAAGTTTCAACAAAATTAGTCCATTTCGATATTATCAAATGGATTCTTACTACCAAAGTATGTAACTTTTTCTATTGACTAAAATGGCTCACTAGAGTAATTTCAATCAATAAAATCATGAAAGTAACTTCATCAACCATAATAAGGGAGTGTTTGCAACTGCTTAAAAAAAAGCACTTCTCAGCTTTTGGCTTTAAAAAGCACTTATTTACCAAACACTACCAATTTTTACTTTTTCTCGGCTTGCGTGTGAAAAGTGCTTTTCCCTTTTCTATTACACAAAAAGCACTTATTTTACCAAACATTACCAACTTTTACTTTTCAAAATCACTTTTTTCTCAAACACTATCAACTTTTACTACCAATCACTTTTTCATTACTTCTCCAAAAGTGCTTTTTTTTAAGCAGAAGCAGTTGCAAACACTCCCTAAGACCGAAAGGAGACTCACCCAACGAGCTCGGGAAAGGTTTTAATAAACCAAAATCGAAAATGTAATCGAGAAATTGAACGGCAACAAAAATTGAACCGCAGCAAAATTGAAACGAATGAAATGTGAATTTTGTCATGGTTAGTTCTTAACTTTCTAGTCTAGTACTAAAAATGTAATGTTTGTTGTATAATTAGTGTAATTTTCTTTTTTAAAACGTTAAGATGTCATTTATCGTTTATACTTATACTTTATTAGCATCCAATTATAATACAACTATTTGATCTTTTAAACTTTAATTTTTACTCCCTCCGTCTCTAAAGATCTCTCATTCCATTTTTCGATGGTCAACTTAAATCACTTTTAATCATGTACTTTATATATCAATTTTTTATGAAACTTGAATTATTTTTAGTTTGTAGCGGTTTTAATTTAGTTTCTGAATATGTAAATTTTATTTACTAAAAATAATCTGAGTTTAGACAAAGATCATTTAACTTTATAGCTGATCAAACATCGTAATCCGCAATTGGAAGATCTTTTAGGGACGGATGTAGGGGTGGTTCGGTACGGTATACCGCATATTTTATCTCAAACCTTTACCGTACCGTAAATTTTCTGTATACAAAAACAATATCGTTACCTTACCGAAATTTTCTCGTCTTTTTTTCTTTTAATGAGAGGTCTTGGTCTAGTCCTCATCTCCTTGTTTTTCCATTCTCTAGTTTAGCGGTTTGCTTTCGTTGTAATTTTTAAATTGGGTTTTGGCCCAGTCCCCCCAATTTAATTGTTGTTTAAATTTCTTTGCCTTGTTGTATTTCTGAGAAGGTATGCAGAAAATCATTGTCAGTAGTGAAATACTACGTACTAAAATCATTAGTGAAATTAATTACAAAATACTAATGATAAATTGATAATGGGAAAACTGTCAAATAGGTCCTCGAACTTTCATAAAAAGGTCAATTAAGTCCTTCTATAGGAGCAACTGTCCGGCCATCGCGATTTGGGGCAGTTCCCGGTGGAATTTTTTGATGAAATTTTTTGAGCATCTTATTCACCAAGTCTAGTTTACTCATACCAAATTTCAGCTAAAAATTCAATCGAAAACACATTCAAATTAATTCTTGAACGCAAAAATGCGCAGTTATCTTCACGAATTAATTTGAATGTGTTCTCGATTGAATTTTTAGCTGAAATTTGGTATGAGTAAACTAGACTTGGTGAATAAGATGCTCAAAAAATTTCATCAAAAAATTCCACCGGGAACTGACCCAAATCGCGACGGCCGGACAGAACCTCCTATTGATGTTCTATTCAATTTCGAAAAAAGGTATTATAAATATATTTAGATATTTCAACACGTGATATATGAAGATAACAACACACTTTCCAAAAATAATTTTAGTAATATAGATATAATAAAAATAGCACTGATGAATGATCTCGCACAAAAATTGCAAATAATTCAAGAAACATGGATAATAAGTCATTTATCCTTGAATTAATGTTTTTATTCTAATCATTTTATAATTTTAAAGAAATTATTGGCTTGAACTTATGGTATGGCAAAATACTGATATACCGTTTATTTTCAAAATATATACCGATACCGTACCGCAGTAATTCGGTGTGGTACCATACCGTACTGAATGTGTCGGTATATCAATGATGGGAAAATTCCCGAAATAGGACTAAAAAAGTTTGAAAATTCCAAAATAGGACTGTCATGTTTTTATTCCTAAAATAGGACTAATTACTGTCAAATTTGGAAAATACTGCCATGTTTGAAGTCTGGTACTGTCAAAACATGACAGTAATTAGTCCTATTTTGGGAATAAAAACATGGAAGTCCTATTTTGGAATTTCCAAACTTTTTTAGTCCCATTTTGGATAATATCTCTTTTGATAAATTTTATTATCCCCACCCTTAGACGGAGATATTACTTTTGGTATTTGTGGCACTAATGTGCATTTGGTTCTTGGCAGTAGTTGCTTTTTTTAAATGTATAATACTTTAAAAAATTATATCCAGGGAAGAATTTAGGGTAGTGGGGGCGACGACCGCCTCCCTTCGATTTTCAAAATGTCGTATAAGGTAAAATTGTTTTACTTTGAATAGATATACTGACATAGAGAGCTCTTCTCATCAGGCCGGCCTGACGGGCAGCCCCGTCCGGCCGAGCCCGTTTGGGCACCTTCCCGGTGGAATTTTTTGATGAAATTTTTTGAGCATGTTTGTAATCAAGTCTAGTTTGTCCATACCAAATTTCAGCTCAAAATTCGATCGGGAAGGTCGTCAAATGATTTTTGCAAGTTAACTGGTCCGGAAAATACATATTCCGGACCAGTTAACTTGCAAAAATCATTTGACGACCTTCCGATCGCATTTTGATCTGAAATTTGGTATGGACAAACTAGACTTGATGAGGAACATGCTCAAAAAATTTCATCAAAAAATTTCACCGGGAAGGTGCACAAACGGGCTCGGCCGGACGGGGCAGCCCGTCAGGCCGGCCTGATGAGATGATTTCTCTACTGACATAATGTCCGTATGTGTTTTACCCCCTCCCCTTATTTTCGTTATACAAAACTTGTTTTCCTTTGCTTTTCAAAAGAACTTTTGGCTTTTTAAAAAAACAAAGTTGTTTTGAGTGCTTGCAAAAGGAAGATTCAGCTTCAAAATAAGTGATTATAGGATAAAAGCTGGAAGGCTCCTTCTACCATGTCTATCTGCTTCTACCAAGTTTGAGAGTAGTTACACAATTCCCTTCCCCCTGATGCCCACTTTACCCTTCTCAACATCCCCCATGTCTCTGTGTCAAGAAGAGGAAAATCAAGGATGAGTGAGCAGATCGCTGACTCGCTGAGTATATGGCAAAGAAATTTGAGAAAAAGTTGAAGAGGACGATGAAGAAACTGAACGCAAAACACAAGCTTTCCGGATACTCAAACGATTGGAATCCATTTGGCGATACAAATCTAAACGAGAAAGGAGGAAATGGCCAGGGAGCGTGCTAAAGCCGATTTTCAAGATTGGGAGAAAAAAGAAGAGGCATTCCACTTTGACCAAAGCAAAATCAGGACAAATCCAAAGAAATACTCCGTACCAAGTTTGAGACAGGTTCAGGGGAGGGTTAGGTTAAAGGGGAGTATTTACGATCAAGAGGAAAGTGAGCTGATCAAGGAAGGGATATTTTAGTACATTCAGGAAAAATATAATTCCACAATCACTCTTTTACCAAACACTCCAACTTTAACTCTCTCACTTTAATCACTTCTATTCTAACACTCCCAACTTTTATCATTAATCACTTTTTCAAAAATCATTTTACAAAATCACTTTTTAAAAAGTTAAGCCATAGCAAACATAGCCTTAATATAAAGACAAAAGGAGTTTTTATCACTTTTAGCCACTCGACTATTATGTCATTGATACTTTTGTATTCGATTTAGAGTTTTTTCACTTTTAATCCATCGACTATTGTGCGATAGACACTTTTGGTACTCGTCTTTGAAAAATTTCCACATTTAGTCTTTCAATTTTCGTAAAGGTGACACTTTTGATCCTTCAACTATTATAATAGTGACATATTTCGTCCTCCGCTTATTGTGTCAAAATTTTATTGGAAGGACTAAAAGTGTTAATTTTATAATACCGAGGGGACTAAATGTGGAAAACATTGAAATCGAGAACTAAAAGTGTCTCTCGCATAATAGTCGAGGACTAAAATTGAAAAAATTGAAAGTCGAGTACCAAAAGTGTCACTGACTCAATAATCAAAGGACTGAAAATGGAAAAACCTCAGGAGAAAAATCTTAATGAAGTATTTTTGTTTACCTGTTTTTTTCCTATATAAACATCAATAAAGTTATGAGTTTCTTTATTAAACAGATAAATAATAGAAGTTATGAGTTTCTTTATTAAACAGATAAATAATAGAAGAACTCGTTGAGTTTAAAATTTAAAAAACAAATCCATAAATATTACTCGTGATAGTTCCTGTTTTCTTTGCCATATACTCACAGTTTCCTTAAGAAACTGTGAAATTTTAGTTCCCTTAAGAGAATACTACTTGATAAAAACTGGAAAATCACAGTTTAATGTATATATATTTAATTGATAGAAAGTATTGGATTTTGTAAAATATCAAGCGATATTCATATTTTAATTTATAACATGTGATGTGACTAAGTCATACTGTTGGCCGTCTCGCGCCTACCACAACACCCCTCATTTAGTCTGGTTTGGGATAGACATGATACCAAAAATGATCTCATGACAAATAATACCAAGCAATATGAAGTAAACTCAAAATATAAATGCTTGTGTGACATTAAAATTACATAATTCATTTAATTTATGACTTTTAAAAAAGAATTTATTGCATAATTAATAAACATTTAAACAC